TTGGAGGGTTTCAAACTTGTATAAACCTTGGAGTTCAACGCTGTAGAGAGAATGACCTTCTACAGAACTTGTTTTAGAACACAATACTAAGTCGTCTGCTTGTGCATCTTGGACCAAGCTTCTACATTAAAAGCTTTTGTTGGAAACATTTTGTAAGCTTTAAAACCAAGAACTAGATCTGCAGATTCTCATTTCATTTATCTACTTCCACATATAAAAAAAAAATCTGAGCATGACAGGACGCAAAGCCGAGAAGGACTGGATTTGAGCAGGAAAGCATCAGTAGCGATCAGCTCACCAGGGTGTTCAGTACGATATACTGCAACTGTCAAATCACACTTGCTGTTTAAGAACAGCACAAGGAGCCTGAGTTTTGACACTCTCCCTCCTTGTTGACAATTGCTCACGTTCACTCGCTCAATGGCTCTGAAGAGCCACCAAAGTGGATGCAGATCAACGTATGCCAAAATTTGAAAGACAGTAACTAATTCTCGTCTGCCCCACTGCACAGACAGATGTAACCTAGCAAGGGTTCCACGGAAGCACATACCAGAGATCAGGCAGCAACAAGTTAGCAAACTTCAGCCAGCTGCTTATGATGGTAACGCGGATGCTGGCTCTCAGAGAGACAGAGCACAATGCAACAGCACCACAGGCAAATACAGATTACTAACCTGCTCAGCAATTACCTGGCTACCCTGAAAGACTCCTCCCCAACCCTCTGCTGAGGGCACCAGCTACACACCTGAATCTCCCTTATCCTCCACTCGCAAGTCACTCTCACAAATCCTCTACCTCCCACCTCCCCAAAATTTGCAGACATCAAAGGCACCTGCCTTGAACACCTGAAGAGCAGGGGAGCCTGACGGTCAAGAAATGCAACTCTGTATCTTCTCCTTCCATGAACTATTTTTTTTTTTTCCCCCATCCCTTTGAAAAAGGTGGCAGAGATAAATGGAGAACAAAGAAACAAGAAAAAGCCACAGCTTTGGCCCACACCCTGCCTATTACTTAAGGGGGAAGGAACTCTTCCGAAAGAGGAGGAAAAAAACGTGCTCAGACACAATGGCTCAAAAGGCCAGGCAGCAAACCGGGCCACTTTGTACTGCTAACAAGGGAAACCTAATTACAGGAAGAGGGCAAAGAGGGACAGATAAAAGGGATACAAAATTTCAACATCTGTTGCCATAAAGGGATAAGAAGTGGGGAAACGCAAAGTGTCAGTTTGGTGTCAGTGACGGTGTAAAGCCACTTTCAAAGGGCTCAGGAGAGGGAGAAAAACTGAACAAGAAATTAGAGGGTTCTTAAAAAAAAAAATACAACAAAACAAAACAAAAAACACAAAAACCACTCTGCCAAAAATGCTTTCAAAAGTGGGGAGGAGATGGACAAAGACTGGATATTTAAAAGATAGAGGATGCAAGGTGGCTTGCAGGGCACGGCTACCTTTGGCTCAGTTTTCACAGCAGCTCTTGTGCCCTGCATCTGTCATGTTGTGTCACAGGAAAGGACAATGTAGGACTTGTGCATTCAAAGTGTTTACAGCATGAGGACTACCATGCCAGACAGATCACTGGTCGGTCCATTTCAAACACCAGGCTTGGCAGAATAGCTCCAAGAGTTGCTGCAAAGCAACCTATGGAGTATCCTACCTTATCGAGAAGCATCCTTGAGGCACAGGCATTTGTCTCCTAAAGCCATGATAGGCTGGGGAGTAACAGTTCTCCACAGGCAAATGGAATGCTGGCCTTGGAGCTATCCCTTTGTCTCCCAAGGAGTTGAAACTCCCAAAGAAGACAGGAGGTGGGAAGAGAAAGAAAGAGGAACAGGATCTGAAGAAAGGTTCCTTTTCACTTGCTTGCCATTAACTGGCTGTTCTGCTGAGCCACACGCTAGCATTGGAAGATAAGACAGGACGGTGAGAGCAGAGAAAGGCAAAAGGGAACAGAGGGGCAGCTGCCATCATATCCCTCACTGCCATGGAGTGGCAAGGGGACTTGCAAGAGGCCACAGAGTCAGCAGGCCTGATACTTGATGCACGGACACAGGTGAGTATCCAGTGGCCCATACTGTTAATTGCTCTCCTTTCCTGTGCAGACCTCTAATCACCTAAGTTATTCACAGCCCCCCTCCACACACACACACCTTAATCCTGAGCGGCAATAAGTGCATGGCAACTTCCCCACATCTAAAAGCAATCAGATGGTACAGTGTAGCATCTGTGGGATGAGATATGTCCTCCAGAGGTGCAACTAGTCAGCTTCAAAAGCATAAGGAAAAAAAAAAAGATATCCTTCATTACAGGAGAAAGGGCCAGGTGTAGCAGCAGCTGGAATTTCAGCCATCGGAGACAGTGTCTTGGCATTACACGGTCATTCCCCTGCTTTAGACTCCCCTTGACAATTGCTTGTTGCTGCCTGTTGCGGCTTTGATCCAACGCCATCATCTCAGCAAAGACAGAAATGAAAGACAGTTGTGGGGGTGGGATGCAGCAAGAGGCGTTTCCTCTCCCCACTAAAAATTTCCTTGCTGACAAACCCAACCAAACCCTTTTCAAAGCCCAGAACATATTTCCAGGTGAAGACATTATCCCTTCCTCATGAAGGGATGAGAATGGCTGCCTCAGGGTCAGGGAACAGCGAAGGTCATAAATACGAAAACATACCATGACCAAAAGCTACAAGCACCAGCCCAAGGACTTATCTGGCCTGGAACTAAGAAGATCAGTACACAAAAGGTTATTTAAGCTTTAAATCCTTTTGTAGCATGTTCCAGCTCTCAGCTGTCGAGGAAAAAGACCACCTACCCCAAGGGAAGAGAATGCTACAGAAACTGCTGCAGTGTTACTTACACACACCCCCATACAGAAAAACCAGCTAACTGAATTGACTGGTCTTGGACAGCACTAAACATCTAAGTGGTGCTAAAGATCTGAACTTTTAAACAATAAGTCTTAAGCATTGCTCTACCATGCCTTACTTTTTTGATAGAGAAGTTGCCTGGATTCTGCTCTTAGAGATCGCATCCTTGCCATGTTCAGCCTCTGCGAGTCAGACCCTGGCCCTTTGTGGCCACAGGGAAGGGGTAAGCAGCAAATCCGGGGCGCCTGGCTCTGTCTGCCAGATGTTATCAAGACACACTGGGCACAGGAGGAGCTTTTCAGTCCTGGGTAGCTCTAAGATTTTACGTTTCCATGCCATGCTCCCTCTTCTGGAGTCTCCCTGGTCAGACAACGTGCACAAGCCTCAA